CACCCGGGGAAGCTTCATCAAGTCACAGCTGCGATGGCTCTTTGACGGGCCTTTGAGGGGCGACATCACGGCCGGAGGGGCTCGGGGCAGTCTCCGACGCCTCCACGGCACCTGCCTGAACAGACGACCCAGCTCCCAAACGCTGCCGTGACTGCCAAACCGAGACTGGTGGCTTGTGCTGCGCCTGCGCAAGCGGACAGAGAGCCTGCAGATGTCGCACCGAAGCGTGCAAGGGCAGTTCGATTCTGCCGTCAGGCAACTTCCACATTTGTAGGCTCGAGGAGCAGCAGGCCCCGTCTCAGCAAAGGTCTGTTGCCCAGGACCAGCTTGGATCCTGGAATGGCCTGATTAAGAGGTGGCCAAATGAGCACAATACAAGCTGTCGGACCGCTGCACCGGTTGACAATCAAGCCTGTCGCAAAGCAGCAATCGGCCGCCGCTCGATACCACAGACAGCCTGAACACGGCAAACAGGACGCCCAGTTGTTCATGGTGAATGGTGAACCTAGCTGGAGGCAGGCCTGAATGCCATCTGTCAACAACACCTCATTCACACTCTGCCTTTGGACGGCTCCGAACCCTGGTTGCATCGAACCCCACCTTCAAGAGTGCCGGTCTTTGTCTGCCACCTTGTCTTCGGGAAACTTCCTTGCCCCCAATCTGTTCGACAGGTCTGCTAGCATGACGATACAGAATACGTCAGTCCTCGGACAGCCCATCCTGAAAGTCCCCCTCGACTGAATCCTTCGGCCAGGGCAATTTCAGCCTAATCCGCACATGACCATGAGCAGAGGACGCGGCATCTGGAGCCGATGGATTTGCAATGTCCACCTTCTGCAACATCTGCAAGAGGTGCTGGCCCTGGCCGTCGACGAGCAGAATTTGCTAGCAGCACGCCGAAAACGTGCATCTTCACAACCACCTAGAATCTCGAGTAGTTCCTCCTGCTCTATTGGTGCTCTATTGCATGTTCATGACTTTGGGACAGCCTGCGCAGACACGGAAATGTTTAAGGAAACGACCTGCAAAGGACGGCTCCAACATCAAGCACCGTCGATGCTTTTGAAGTCTGAACTTAAATTCTTAAACTTAGTTGCGTTCCAGATCCTGCGTAGCGGTGTGGGCCACAAGTCCTGTCGTCTTACAAGTCCGCACTGCACTGCACTGCACTTGCTTTGCTGGTGTCAGCCGCTGCAGTCTGCAATTCACAAGCGCGGCAAAGCCAAAGGTATGCAGTTTGTGCTGTACAAATCATGCAGGGCCTTGCTTGCAACTCTGCACTACAAATCATGCAGGGCCTTGCTTACAAGTCTGCACTGCACTGCACTTGCTTCGCTGGTGTCAGCCGCTGCAGCATGCATGCTGGCAAGGAGAAATGGCAAGCACCCTGGCATGGTTCAAACGCCCTCCGGTGGAGCGCTCCCAGCCAAAGCTGCTAGCTCCTGAAGAAAACTTTCGGATTCCACCTGTGCCCGTGCTGCCCGGCTGCTTTCGTCGAGCTGGCTGAAGTAGGATCTTTGTGCTTCGTGTGTATAAGCGTCGTCCTCAGAACAAAGTCGGCTCTCGAACTAGAAAACACTCGATGACATACAAGCTTCCCATCTGCCCCGACCTCCCACCCAATCGCCCTTGTTTAGGGATGAATGTAGGGGGTCCTAGAAGGGTTAACAAAGGGTAATCCAGGGTTTTGGGGCTTCGGTTTGGCGGCCCTGCATGGAGGGAAGCCAAGTTGCTCCAAATTCTAAAAGCATACACAACTGTCTAATTTAGTGGCCTGAAGAAGTAGATTTAAGGTAAGGAACCTTTAACAATAATGGGCTGGAAACTACTCTGCTCCTGTATTACCTCCAAACTGGGTGCAATCTAAACCCTAAGCCCCGATGTGTGTATGTGTATGTATGTATGTATATCTATATATATATATACACATACACATATATATATATATGTCATATATATATATGTGTGTATATCACATATACTCTACATATGTATGTATATATATATGTAGATATGTACACACAGACTTGTACACCAAAAAGGTTCATTGTTACCTACTCAGCTGCTGAGAGGGCATCGGGAGGCACCAAACCGGAAACCCTAAATCAACTACCAGAGGCTAAACATTAAGTCCCATAAACCCTAAATGAAAACCGTGAGCCCCATGTGCACTACCCTCACGTCACTAGCCACAATCACTAACCCCAATGCTATATACAAGTCCAAAATTATGCAAAGTACTACTCTAGACCCATTGCCCTCCCAAGCCCACTTTTGAACCCTGGGCTAAATAAGAGCCATGCAACTACACTCGTGGCGGACGGCCACTAGTCAGACACTGAACCGTTAGGGCAAGCATCATCCAGATAGTTGCCAAAGAAGCAATCAGAGGTTCCACCTGATCTCTTCCCCAGTGACCTCCCCGCCCGAGGGCCACACACCTCTGCCTGTGAACTGATTGACCGGCTCCAAGGCACGATTCGCACTTTCATGTCTTCTGCTGGATTTCGTGTCGCAGGCAATCTGACAGAAATTTCCTCTCTCCGCCCGCCGAGACGGCTGGATCGGGCTGTTGTGCCAGGGGGAGGAGGGGGGAAGGAAAGTCAAGACGGTAGGCTGGCAAGACTTGGCAACGAGGCACGACCCGACTAAGGCGGAGGAAGGAACCGATGCAGAAAGACCTTGTCAGTGCCTCCATGAGATCAGGCTTGTAGAAGAGCAGACTTTGCTGCAGCCAGTGGCGGAGCTTGGCTGAGCTACAAGAGACCTTGTTGGCAAACAACCCATTGACTGGACTCCTTGGAGGAGTGGGCGTTGTCACGAACCTTCTGTCCACTGGAAGTGGTCACACACTTGGGGCATTTGCGAGTTGTTAACAAGCCTTCGAGCTGACCAGGAAGTTGAAATTACAAGGACAGTGTTTCGGATAGCAGACCGGGTACCAGGCAACAAAATCGAAGGTTTGCTGCGATGTTATTTCAATGTTATCGGCAGACATGTATACATGCTGCATTGGATATGTCACTTCAGCCAGTCCACACAGGCCCGCGCAGGCTTCGGATCGGAAAGAGCTGGACTGATGCCAGAAGCACGTAGTGTGGGTCGTGGCTTCGGGATCCTGGAGCTCGTGGCAGAGAAGCGGGCGGGGAAGCAGCGAAGCTGCAAAACTTGGTCTCTGTGAGAACTAAGTCTGCTGTCGAATTGCTTTGTCTCAGCTAGGCGGAGGCGCAAAGGTGGACACGAAAAGAGCGATGCGAAACCGCTCAAAAACACAAACAACATTTAAAAAAATTGAAAAATGCGAAATACTAGCAATCGGGAACAGCGCGGTATGTGGAGACAAGACGCCAGGGAGTCAGGAGGCCTTCAGGCTCTGCCGCTAGAGAAAACGACCTAAGGCGATCGGGACTCTGAACCAAAAGCTGTTTCGCTAGACAAAGCATCGAACGTTTTTCGCGCATTGCGAAGGAAGTCTGATGCCAACCTTGGGTGGTCATTACGCTGAAAAGTCACCCAGCCGGTGGGGGGGGGGGGGACTTTTTGAGTCTACGTTGGCAAAGCAAGCAGGGCCAATGGCCCCGCTTTGCGGCTGGGCGAGTGGCGTTGTCAATTTCCCGATTCTGGGCATGCCGGTACACAGAACTGTTGTGCAATCACAAGCGAGGCTCCGTAAGTTGCCTTTGCATTGCAAGCCTTTGGTTCACGAGTTTGTCACCCTCGGCAACATCCGTAAGGCTGTTGGGTGTTCAACTTCCGTCGGGTTTAAGATTTGGCATGGGCTATGCTGTCGGATGGCATGTTGACACCAGCACTCAAGGAGACCTTGGCTTTCACTTATGCTGGCACTGGGGCGAAGGCATGTCTGAGCGGCCCATGACGGTTAGTCATTCTACCGGAGGCGAGCAACGAAAGACTGCCCTGCCTCAACACGAATATCATGCAGTCGGTCGAGATGGGGCGGCAACGAACCTGCAATCGCGGACTCGCAGGAGTCTTCGGTGCAGGCACACCTTGCATGCACAATTGAGATGTTGCTTTCAAACGAGAGGCCATCGCAGGCATCTCGCAAATCTGCGACGGCGAGGCGCTGCAGCAATCTGTCTGCAGCCTGCTCCTTGGCAATCTCGTTACATCATCTTCAACACGTCCCTTGAGAAGCTACGGAGTGATAGATTGCTGAGCTTGGAGCAACTGACAAGTTGCTACCTATCTGGTCTCGTTGCTGATCAAGCCAGGCAGGCCTGTGGCTGATCCACTCACTTGGGCAATCTACAGATGTGTGTGGCTTTAGAAGTGGGTGCGGCCTGAGCCGCAAGCTGCCGGCAACAGCAACAAGCCTTGCCGCTGCGTCCGAGGCTGACATGAGGCACCCCACGCCCTGCCGGAATAAGACGTAAATTAGCAAGCTTCCACCTATGCTGCAAGCTGCTCACGTGACATTCTGCGGCCCTGCCTCCTTCCTCTCCAGCTCTCCAGGAGCACTGCGCTGTGCTCAATTCTATTGGCTGCACAACTTCTCAGCCAAATGCTGCTCGATATCAGGATCCGTCTGTGCCCCCGGTCCCCAGGTCGATTCGATACCCAACGGCCACATTGTTTCTTCTTTTGTCGGACAGCTCAAAGCCTCTTTGGGCTCCGCTGCAGATTTCAGAGTATCCACAAGACCAGGAAGTACAGCAAAGAGAGGCCTGCGCAGTGCGTTTGCTTCAACCGGCCACGAAGGCCAAGCTCGTGGAGCAATCGTCCCATGGTTTTCCGGCAAGCCTAGTATCGAGAACGAAAAGCGCTTCGAGGATGAGGGTCTTAGCATGGAAGGGGCGACCAGCACAAGAGTCATCCATCCACACAAACTCTCAGATCATCGCGCTTCAAGCAGAGATGCCCCCTGCCAGTTGAGACCAAAGATCACCTCGGATCGGAACAAGCGAACCCTCTGATGCCACAGCGTGATCGAGAGTCAAGACCCCGGCTGGATAGAAGCCCTGTCCAGCCGTAAAACCGTAGGACCTGTGATCCAAGACCAGCGGAGCCCGGGCAGTGGAGAACTTCCGTCTGGCCCCCACTCCGGAGTTCCTCCGTGTTGAAACGCCTGCAGGGCCAGCACCTCAGGCTTGCGATGCGAACGCCAACCCACGAAAACCCGCCCTTCGGCTCAGGGCCTCACCGATGCGGGCTCCGGCTCTGGGCGTTCGCCAGGCGGCCGTGCAGGCAAATTGGGATACCTGCGGGGCTCGGCTGGTCTCACAAACTGCGCACCGCAAATCCCGTTCTGGCACGGTGGGGGAGGGGGAGGGGGAGGGGGNNGGGGGGGGGGGGGGGGGGGGGCACGAGTTGCGAGGATCCGTCTGGCTCCCACGCGTGTACACAGGAATCACATTCTGGATGGTGACGGAGGCCTTCGTAGAGAAAGGCGCACACTGCTGTGCTGGGCTGAGCAGTATGACATCACCGCACAGGCCTTACAGATAGGGCAAGCGGAACCGACCGTTTGGCCGCTCCTGACCCGCTGGCTTTGAATCACTGCCGTTTACGACCGCAAAACAGCGCTCATGCCGGAATTCAGTTGCCCAGCCCGGCTAGCTTGGCTGGCCTCAAGGCTCATCCAGGAAGGATGAAGTGGAGTGCCGTGCCACTGCTTATAATAGTTGGCAGCTGAGCTACAGGCTGCTGTTGAGTTCAACCACTGATGAAGACATCCCCAACAGAACAAGTGACCTGAGCCATGAAATCTATGTCATGCAGACGTGGGCCGCATTCATATGCGTAATGGACCGAGATCGTGTCCACAGCGAGTGACCACCGGCTCCACAGCTTGCTCCAAGCAAATGTTGCCTCAGGGTGGTCATCGAAAGTAACACCACGCTCGCACGAAGGCAAAGAGCATAAGGATTCTGCATTCGAAACTTGCCATATATGCACATGCTACATAGCGACGGAGCACATGCCAAGTGTTTGTTGTGCGTTGCAGAACGGTTCGTGATGTGCTGTGAAGAAACCACTAACAAAAGGTCTTTTGAATTAGCGTCGGTGTGTCACCCCTGAAAATGCGGTATTGTTGAGCTTGCGGTGTCTTGCAAGAGAGAGCGCTGTCGCGAGTCTTTGAGCCAACGAACGGAAACCGACAGGCCGGTGGCAATGAAAATTGCAAAGTCCACGAACCTGAACCTAGTCGAGGTTAGGAGAGGCGATAATGCAACTGTATGGGTTCACTGTATTCGACATACATTCCATCAACACGATCCGGACCGCCAGGTACGTAGTGCGAATCACCATTGAATTTCTGTCAACGATATAAGGTTCAATACGTTGATTGTAATTCGGAGTGCATGCAACTGCTTTTTAACATGAGAACAGTACTGCAGGTCAGTGGATCAGATTGCAGGGCACGTATGGTAAAACGCATCCTGCTATGAGAATGAGATCCTACAATAATGGTCAGATTTTGACAGAGCAACATGGCTGTGAAGCTTCAGCCGGTTCGGAGCAGGAACAAACCCCTAATACTGACTGGCTGAAATGGGATTTGCCCAAGGTTCACGTGCGGCCCGTGGCGGCAGGGAAGACAGGCAGAGCCGAGCGGCCGACAGAAACGCAGCCAGCTGAAGCCGCACTGTCGCAATGGGTGCAGAAGCATTTTGCCGTATGGCTCTCGAGGACGTCCACCCCTAAACTTCCAACCAGCAAGCAAGGCACGCGTTGTGCTCCACCCAGCTTGCAAAGATGATGTCTACTCAAGCTCCAGCTGGAGAGCATAATGCGTGTGCCACTTCTGGGGTCTATGTACAGAACGTGCTGGCGGCAGCTCCGGCGGCCTTCAAATTAGAAGCTGTCTCTCTAGCCCTCGTTCTAGGGTCTGGGAAGGGTTCGCTCATCTGCATTTTGCACACCGGCTCACCTTCCTGCAGTGCTTGCTGAGAGCATTCCAAGCCCCGCCACGTAGAGGACCGGACGCGGGGTCCTCGCCAAAGCTAGCTCTCCGCAGCATCACCGGCCATCGCCGCATCCTCAAAACAGTGGGACGAGTCGAATCGACGTCTCAATCTGACCATTGGGAACCGTGCTTTCGTGAAGCAAAGTTGCTACTTCCAGAGCCATGCACGATCCGAGGAAAGCCTCACGAGTGTGCGGCCTCGTCGCAAAGCGCATCTGCAGCGGCCCAGCTTTCCTGCAGAATACACATCATGGTGCTCTGTGTGAAGCAAACCTTGAAGCAACAGCTTCTTATGCAAGAAAACCTCCACGATCTCGGTCACTCTCCGATTGTACTCTCGCCGGTTCTCAGACCTTGCAGGGAACCAAAATTTCTCATCCTCTATGCTCTCCTGGCTGGTCTTCTCTTGCGCTCTGTCATTCTCCCTCCCTTCCGCTCTCGTCTCCAAGGCGTTGGCCAAAGCTTCGCAGCTTCGCTATTCGCCGGCGAGCTCGGATTTGGATCCGTCAGCAGCGACTCGCAAGTCCACAGTAGTAGTAGCAGTAGTAGTAGCAGCAGTAGTAGTAGCAGTAGTAGTAGTCGTCGTCGTCGTCGTCGCAGTCGTCGTAGAAGTAGTAGAAGTAGTAGAAGTAGTAGTAGTAGTCGTCGTCGTCGTCGTCGTCGTCGCAGTCGTCGTAGCAGTAGTAGAAGAAGTAGAAGTAGTAGAAGTAGTAGAGGTA